GAGAGAGAGAGAGAGAGAGAGAGAGAGAGAGAGAGAGAGACTTCCCCTTCAGGGAAGGATCGTCTACTGTCAGGCAGAGAATAGAACCAAAGAATATAAGGATATGATGGCAACAAGAGAAAAACTAACTAGAAAACACCCTCCATTCCTAGGTGATGGGGTGGGGGAGGCAGGGCCAACACCACATCACCTTTTAATAGTAACAGCCAATTCTTGGTTATACAGGGTGTTTGAGGACTGCAGGAGTCCTAAGAGTGCAGCTGAGGTGGCCACCTCCCCAAAAAACAGCTCTGTGGCCAAACGTGTCACACACTGGAAGATAAAACTTTCTTGGTAAAAGTGCTCCACATAAATGGGGGTGCGGGAATGTGGGCTGTTATACAATGGAATATCATTTAGCCACAAAAAAGGATGAAGTACCGATTCATGGGATAAGATGAATTCTGGAAATAAGGCACCAAGAAACCAGACACAAAAGGCCACACTGACTATCCCCAAAAGGCAAATCTAAGGAGACGGTATACTGGTGATAAGCCGGCTGAATATTGATCACAAAAGGGTACCAGGGGTCTTGGGAATGACTCTCAAAGTGGGTTGTGGTTCTGACTGCGCAGCTCCGTATGCTGATGCAAAGTCACTGGGCAGTAACACTTAAAACAAGTGGCCCTTTGAAACGGGCGTTTTATAAAAAGCTCTTACATTAAAAAAAAACAATAATAATAACGTTAAGGCAGGTGTTGGTGGTGGACGTTTTAAATTCCAGCACCAGAGGTGGAGGGAGGAGGATCAGGAGCTCACAGCCAGTTGGACCTATAATTAGACTTTGTCTCAATTATTAAGGGTTTTCTTTTTTCCTATGTAAAACCCAGTCTTGCAGATTTTAATGGAAGGAACTGCTTTTCTCTCCGGCCGGCTCTTCTTTCGCTTCCCAACCTAGTGGCTGGCACCCAGAATCAAATCTTCAAGCGTTCCTTCTGACACCTCTGGCACCCAGAATCAAATCTTCAAGCGTTCCTCTGTCACCTCAGAGCGCCACGCGAAAACAACAAGTACAGTAAATGCAAATACGAGCCT